TCCCCCATTCTACCACCAAATAGGCCTCCAAGGGAAGCGGCAATCACAAACATTCCGATAAGGAAAGCAGTTTTTCCATGGGAGAAGCCAATTAGCTCCAACCACATGGGTGCAAATGACAAAGCTGACCAAGGGAAAGAACCCGTGACACCCTGAGCCACAATTATCTGGAAAGATAGAAGACTTATAACTGATTTGGATTCCTGAATTAGGTCCTTCAGGTCTGAACAGAATGACTTGTTTGGAACTTGATTAATAGCTTTCTTTCCACTATCTGTAAAATGTGGATCATTGGCAAAGCAGCGGACTAAAATACCAACTATTACACTGATTAGTGCAACAAGATGGAAGGATAATCTCCAACCAGGGATGCCCATGAATGTTACTGGAGCCATCAGTATAGAAAGGAGTCCACCGATAATTGAACCAAGGTTGGCAGTTAGTTGCAACCATCCAAAAGCCATGCCACGATTTCCATCATCAGTTGAGTCAGCAACAAGTGACTGGATTGCAGGTGCAACTAACGCAAGGCCAACACCATTCAGAGCTCTAGATATAGCCACCTGCTCATTGTCAGCCAAATGGTTAAACATGTACAAGAAGAAGGAATACCACAGGCAGCCATAGGTAATGATGCTATCTCTATGACATAATAGCATATAATACATATGACAATGTTCTGTCTTAAATTGTGTAGACATATATATGCTCATGTCATGCATACTCTTTTCACTTTATCTCTCTTGATTTTGCAAGTATGTTTTCTCTGGTTACGGATATCACTTGACATGAGATTACAAGACTACCTAATTGGTTGACAAATGAAAAGTTTGGTGGTTGATGCTTCTAACTGTCAGAGAGTTTTGGGGAGAAAAAGCAAGAAAAGATTTAACACCGGGAATAAAACCAGGTCCCTCATGCCAATTGATTGAGGCATTCATTCATCCATTCGCTTCCTCTCACCTAGAATTAACCTTAGACTGCATTAATCGTACTTGACTAAAACATTTCCTCAGCACAATGGAAAAGCACAGAGAAATGAGCGGAAAAAGATCTTGGGATAATATCTGCAGAGCCCTTCACAGGAAATGTTACTCTCATTTCCCTTGGCTCCAGCCACTTTCTGATTGGCCAAATAAGTATCACAATTGGAAAAAAAAAAAGACAAAAAACAATGAATTTCAGGTTACCTGAAGGAAAGAGGAGGAGAAGGCAACAAGGAAGGTGGCAGCTGCCCAGAGAAAGGCGCCGAGCGCGATCACGTGTGCTCTGTTATGTCGTACCGCTAGGTAAGCGGCAATTGGGTAACAAGCGGACTGGACGATGGACCTGAGCAGAGTCAGGGACCCGAGCCCAGTTGGATCAGTGTGCAGAGCCGCACCCACTTCCTTGTATACGCCAGGTAGCAGAGACTCGTCGGCTCTTTCCATTATTCCTGCCAGGTTCACCAGAACAAGAGTCGCCGTCTCTGGCTTCATCTTTGTCCCTTGCTTGTGCTTTCCGCTTCTGCTTCTGTTTGTACGGTAAAGTTTAAGAGTTTGGTTTTTAGGCTTTCATTTATTTATTTAATTGATTACATGTGTCTCTATGCGTGTAAATTGCAATTGGGTTTTGGGGGGGTGATTGACAAGTGGCTAGCCTCCTCTCTAAAAACGACGACGACGGGATTTAGGATCTGTACGACGTGTAAAATGAGGAGTGGTGAGGTGGTTATAGGCTGGTGTGAGTTTGACTTCGTACAGGACCCAGAGAAGTCAAAGTGCTGCAATCTTCTCTGACAAGGTGATTAAATTACATTAAAAGAATCTACAGGAGAATATTCAGTTACGTGGGAATTTCGATTCTCTGGTTTGGGTTGATGTATATACATTATAGTTTTTTAATATTTGTGTGTTTAGGTTGTTAATGGGGATTGGGTCTTGGCCTCTTAGACCGACGTAGAAAGCTTTCCAACAGGACTAGAGGATCATTGGGCTCCAGTCCAGTCCTTGAGAAATAAGCGACTATAAAAGCCCTAGGACAGCTTTTGCTTATGACTTTTCCTTTTAGCTCTTCTTTTTTTACCAAAACTTATGGCTATTATAGAGACCAAAATGAACGAAAGCCGTTGGGCTTGGTCTGCTACGGTCTCCAATAACTATTGTAGCTTCAGCCCATCTCTAGGCTCTAATGATCAGAAGAAAACAGGGTCAATCGTGATTTAGGAATGAATATCCATAAAAATAGGTATGTGCCATTGTCTTCAAGTTTAATTATCATTTGTTATAGTAAGTAAGGTAGATTAATGAGTTAGAAGTTAGAGATCTTTCTTGTCCTATATAAGAGGATTAGTTTAATTAGAAGGAAGATCTATTTATAAATTTGATATGCAATTTTTTGTTTAAGAAAAAAATTGGAATAAAGGGATGAAAACAGGTCAGCATCAAAAGCAAGGAGGCATGATCTCTCTGGGGACTAGAGAAGGTGCATAAATGATTGCGATTCGTACAAAAAACGAGTGAGCGAGTGAGTGGGAGGGAGGGAGAGTCGTCCTCAGCCGGCAGCAGGCAGCAGGCAGCAGGCAGCTGGCGATGGATGGAACAGACGGCCACCGCCCCCACTTGTTAAGTGGATCCCACCTAAAACATCATCATGGCCCCTTATCTTCACATGTGGGTATCCCTCATCCAGCCTTACACGTGGATCGCCTCTCCTTCATTCCCGCTCTTTCCTCCTATACTATCCTCCTTACACGTGTACATATTGTCTTATGCAAGCCTGAACTCGCACTGACGTTGCCTTCTTTTTTCTTTGTTTTTTTTTTGGTTTGCCCTTTGATTTGTCAACCCTCTTTTTATAATTTTATGATTCGTGGATATTCATCAGTGATCTTGCGAGGTGTAGTAAGTAGTGGAAGTAAAAATTAGATTTTAACTTGTCAAAATAAAGAAATATGATGCCCACCTTCTTGTTGGAAACTTTTGAATTTCTGGTACTTAGAAAAAGGGAGGAAAAATTTTAGCCGCACCTTCTTTTGAGAATTGGATGTAAAAATGAACTTTTGCCAACTAATTAATATACAGTTGCCTTCAGAAGACGGTCATTCAATAGCTAGCTGTTTAGACGCGGCTTGATTTTTTTGTTAAATTGAAAACGTCTTTTGAAAGTGAAATATATATATATACACACACACACACACACACACATATTTAACGAGAACGAAGAAAAAGTTATATAAGAATTTATATATAACTTGTATGTATCTAGTTCTGGGTGGTGATGATATGTATGCCTTAAATTATAATATCCACCTAAGAAAATAAAAATAAAATTAGACTTCTAACTTAAATGAAAGAAATAAGAAAAAAAAAAGAAGAGTAAAGTATAAATAAGTGGAAGCGAAAGGGGCAAAAAAAGAAATAGAGAACGGACAATCTTGATCGAACTGTTTGAGAAGATTAAATGATTGAGATTTAATAAAGAACAGACGATCTAGATTGAGATCTAACAGTCGAGGCGAATGAGTATAAAAAAGAAAAATTTTAAGGTTTCTCTTCATTTTGAAGAGTAGTAAAAAAAGAGAGAGGGAGAAGCCAGAGGAGTGATCAAGGAGAGAAGGAAGAAGAAGAGGTCGCGTGGGGAAGCTGAGAGAGAAGAAAGAAGGAGAGGAAAGGAAGAGGGAGGCCGGAGAAGAAGAAGCGAAAAGAGAAAAAAAAAAAGGAAGAGAAGAGAAGAGAGGAGTGGCCGAGCGGGAAAGAGAAGGGGGAGCCGAGAACGGCCGCCACAAGGGAAGAAGAGAGAGGTGGATGTGGGAGAACAGTGTCAATGGAGCCGAAAGGAAGAAGGAGGAAGAGGAAACGACTCGAGACGCTGTGTGACGATGGAGACCGAGGCTGTTTGGATTTTTCGAACACCGCACCCGAGCTTGGTGCGTTCTTCTTCTTCTTTTGGATTGTGTTTTTGACCAAACGAGTGTTAATGTGTGTGTGTGCGTGCAGGTTTAGGAGCTAGAGAGCCGCGGGTTTACCGAGAGAAGACGATCGAGAGCCAACTGAGGTTGAATTGCCCACGCCCAAAGGTAAAATGATGTTTTTTTTTTCATGTTTTGGTGGTGGTTGAGCGGTGGTGGGGCGGGGATGGTGTCGAGCTAGCCGCACAAGCTCGGCCGAGCCAACCATCTGCGTGTGAACCAAGGAGGTTTCCTCGGGAATGGGAAAAACCCACCCACTGTGGAAGCTAAAGGGTCTTCCGCAAGAATAGAGATCAGAATCGCCTTTTGGGGTTCCGATTCACCTGTTAAGGAAGCTGAAAAGTCTTTCTCGAAAAACAGGAATTCGATTCACTGAACAGGAAACCGAAAAGTTTTCCGACTACGGATCCCAATAATTTTGGGTATTCCGTTGGGTGGTTGCTGGAACCCATAATTCGATTAAATTAATTTTTAGTATTTTGAAGTATTTTAATTAAATTATGTCTTGTGTATAGGAAAATTCGGACATTCAGGCTAATCCACAAAGACGCGTAGGAGAGTAAATATTTCTAAATCTCAACCAGGTTCGAATTTTGAAAAGTGCATTCATTTTATTAAATTATAAATTTTAAAATTTGAACGGACATTAACCTAGGTTTCGTTAAAAAACAGAACCCAAACTATGATCAGTAAACCTAAACAATTGGAATCTTATGAGGAGATGAAACGAGAAAGCAGACCCAATGGATTGAGAGTTATTTGGACTGATGAAATATGAAATTGAAAAAGAAAATTCTCAATTAAGAAAAAATTAAAAAAGAAAAAGAAAGAAAATAAAAAGGTAAAAATAAAAAAGAAAAGAAATAATTGAGGTTATGAAATGATCACTTAAATAAATTAAAAATTTTGGAATGAGAGGGTAGGAATGAATAGGGTAGGGACCCTGAATACCTTTTCGTTTAGTCTGAATTGAGGAGGGGAGTGTGTGTGTGCAACTGAAATTCAGCAGGGCATGGTGAACCTGCACACGGATAGAGTTTGAAACTTAATCCATACATTGATAGGTATGTGTGAGTGTGAGTCACTTAACAAACGTACTTGTTGTGGCCATTGTGTGATTTTTGTGTGTGTGTGCTATCTATGCGATGGAGTGATCCATTTCGCATTTTTTCGATAACGACATAAACGATATCGCGCGAT